TTACTTTACTTTACTTTACTTTACTTTACTTTACTTTACTTTACTTTACTTTACTTTACTTTATTTTACTCTATTTTACTTAACTTTACTTCAGCTTATTTCGCTTCACATTACTTTACTCTATTCACTCCACTTCATTCCATTTCACCTTACTTCACATAACTTCACTTAACTTTATTTTATTTCATTTCTCTCTCCTCTTTTTTCTCCTCTTTCCTTGCTCTTTTCTTTTCTTCCCTTCTCTTCACTTCATTTATCTTCTAGTCTCTTTATTACATTCTAGTCTAATCTTCCCTCTTCCGCTCGATTTGAATTCACTTGACTGCACTGTCACTTATCCTAGTTACTCACAGGGCAGATGCCGTGTTCAAGACAAGCCAGGCCGCTCCCATTTCACAATTTTTATTCGTGGGATTATTTATTGAGCAAACATGTGCTTGCCATTCAAATCAAGCCCGTTACTTATTTTCAATGTGACTAGTTTTAGAGGTAACCGGTAATTCTTGCCTATGAACTTAGTCAGCTTAAGTAGCCTAGGCTTCTGAAAGCCGATCACATCGAGACTGGGCAAACTAGGTTTTTGATCAAAATTAACTCACGCTCTCGAGAGCTTCACAAAGGGAATACACGATGCACGATGCTTGCTCGACTTTGTGGTTCGGATCTGCTGGAGATTTGGGCGAATTTGACATTGACAACCCCGCAGCGATAAACTTGGCTCACTGGGTCTTGAAATGTGGTCCAAATCTTGGAGCTCCAGTTGTTGCCGAATCTGGGCTTGATTACACAAATTCCACATATTTCCATCACCGGCTGGACACGAAAGTGATGGTTCCACTCTGCAGACTCATCGTAAGAACGGCTTCCTCCGAGCATTTTGGTGGACGAGGACACGCTTGTCGGCTTTGGGGTATTCTCTTGTGCGCATGCGCGCCAGCAAGGGCGTATGATCTATCTGTGGTGGAGAAAAAACGCTATTGTGAGTAACATTGCTGCAACACTGTCATGCTGAGGGGCTGTTTTTTCACGGGAATTCTTGGCCAAAAGTAGCGAAAAGTCGTCTGCTTTCTAGAAATTGCGACCGGATGCTTAATGTAGGCAATTTTTGAGCTCCAAATTTGAAGTCCAATTCAAGTCCTATTCTGTTGACAGTGACGACGAGTTGAAACTTTTCGGTACATCAATAGATATCTCTGTCCACTCACTTCAAGAGGCGGAATTCAAGCAACCGACACAGCCAGTGAGTTTCCTCAACGGGTCAGCGGGATCGGAAGTTTGTAGAGGCTGCCCGCTTGTCGGGCCAATAACGTCAGCCGAGGCAGACGAATGCTACCGACAGCGGCAAGCCTAAGTGGAGGTGAACGGCCGAGTTCTGGAAGATTTTCGCCTGTGTGAGTGCATGTGTGCGATGTGCGAAAATGCGAGTGTGCCCTAGGATGAACCCGGTGTTGTTAAAAAAGAGACAGGCAACAGAATCGCTCGGCCTATTCAAGAATTTCTCGTAATTTCAAAGCCTACTGATAGCAAAAATAAGTAATGTCGGCGATTAAAATGACGAAAACATGTTTGCTCAATAGTCAATCCCATTAAAAATGCGATTTGAGAGGAATGACGAATCTCGCTAGAGACTAAGTGAAGTCCAATTCAATCTTGAGATCTATTCATTTCATTGTGGTGATAGCTCAACCACCAGTCCCTAACTCACATTACACAACCTCAAATATAACTGATTGCTTGAAAAATACTACTACTGTATATAATTACTTTTGAGTAGTTTGCAAAATGTGTATGACGATGCCGAAAAATTGGGATTTCCTGTCCTTCCTCAAGAGTCTGATATAACATGTTTGCAAACATTGTTGAATGCATAATAACTAATGTTAAAATCTATGCAATCATGGTATCTGCATGTTTATATTTTTATCCTATGTCCTTGGGTTATGGCCTACAATTTATGAACTGTGATGTAATGAAACTGGCTTTTTCCCGTTTTCGAAACTTGGTCGTGCCGTCTGGG